ATATATATATATATATATATATATATATATATATATATATATATATATATTATATTGCATTATATTTCTTTCAATCTCCTCTCATCTTCAAAAAATTAAATTAGTAACAATAAAGCATTTGAAAAACCACCGCCAGCAGAATTATAATAGAGAGAGAGCTCCACATTATCGACTGATGGAATCATCTCCGACAGTAGGCACCTCCTCACACAATTCAAATTTTCTGGCTTCTCCCCAACGCTCTACGCGACGTCTCGTTAACCCCCGCCAGCGCGTGCACGACTGCCTCCCCCCCTCCTTCCCCGACCCACCTGGCCAACATTTGATTTCGAAGTTGCCTTACCGTACTACTACGGACTCTTATAAAATTTATGTTCAAATTGATAATTAACCTACTAGAAGACTAAAAATAGAAGGTAATGTGTAAAATCATACTGAATCCAATGACCAGAGAAAAATCTGGGATACCCGAGCAAAAAGGGGAAATATTTGAATGATTCTATCCCATTTAAGCGCATGTTAGCGCATGCATTTGATGCATTTTGTCTATTTCATTTCTAAATAATAAACATGGGTTGGTGGATTGAAATTTCACACAAATTTTTTTAAAAACACAACTCACCTTGTTTATCAAGATTGAAGGGGAAGTTCTTGCCAGATTTCTCGATTCCATCCCTGAGTGCCTGAAGAGTGTCTAATGTCAGCAAACTGAGTCGAAATCGTTTGCTTGCCTCATTCAGAACTTTTAGTCCTTCCTCATACTGCTCCATGGAATTATAAACCCTGATTAAACCAGAAATCACTCTACACTTAGTTCCGATATTCAATCGTGGATGTGACTCTAACTTCATTAACAATTTCTTCAACAAGACTGGGTCTTTTCTCTCGGCGGACACTTCTACGATGGGCCTCACCAACGGAGAGCTAGAATGCACGATGAACTCGTTCCAGAGCTCCTCAGCCTTGGCATTATTCTTGATAAAGTGATAATTCCACAAAACATGCATTCCTCTGAAGATCTGGCGATCTGCCATGTTCCTTCCCCACTTCTCGTATTCCTCCAGATAGCTAGGGTCCTCCAACAAACCCTGAAGGATTGCTCCGAAGTGGATTTTCTTCTCAGAGGATCTGGAGCCTTTCTGAGATTCATCAACTGAGAGTCCTTCTAGATATTTTCTAATTCCAAACTTTTGAATTTGACAATGTGAGAATATTTTATAATAATTAAGGTCATCCTTAAGACTTTCATTCATACAGGTGCCAATGTCCTCAATAGTCTTATACTTTTTCTTCTTAAGCAATTCATCACAGACTAATGAGAATATCCTTTTGGGGATTCCAGCAAATTCTTGAATTACAGATCGTACAATATCGGTTGCTCTATCGACCTCTCCAGTTTCCAGAACCGCCTTAATCAACTCTGCATACATGAATCTCATTTCTTTCCTTTCTCGCAATTCAGACCTGATAATATCCTCAGCCCCAGACCAGTTCTTCCGGTTCAAAGCTTGATTGAATTTTTCGCCATCATAAATGTTTCTGAATCTCTGTCTGCGTGTATTACGTACTGATTGTACTGGAGAAAGAGATCGAGATGCTGCAAAATCTTCACTAACAAAAGGCACTGGTTGTGCATTTCTCGTTAATAGTGAATTTAGGGTGTTGAGGAAGTAATTAGTCGGCTGGACATCGATCTCCTGCATCTCTGTCCACAGAGTTAAACCTTTCTGCCAATCGTTTCTATTGTTATAAACCTCGAGAAGAGAATTATATAAATGTCCTCGGTCTATCCTTACAACTCTTCTCGAGATCTTTGATAACAACTCGAGACAATCTAATTTTCCAGTTATATCGAAGTGCCTCACTGCACTTGTGATTTTATCGTTGAATATTTGAATACCAGAGGTCTCAAGAATTTTTCTTGCTTGGATAGGCCTCCCCGCCTCTAGAAAAAGCATTGCGAGATCCACTAATGCATTACTTTCTCCATGAATCTCTGTACAGAGGTCTGTCAGTCGCTGAAGAGAATTTGCATCCTCAGCGTCGATCAAAGCTGATGCGAGGACGTTCTTGTATGGAGTACATTTGTACTCATTCGAGAAACGCTCGAAAATCTCCATCGCTTTATCTATTTCCTTTCTAAGTAGATGCACCTTCACTAAAGGTCCAAGCGAGTAATTATCGAAGACGATATAGTTCTTAGATTTGAGTAAGTTGAATAATTGATGAGTATTTTCGACGTGTTGGGTTTCAGCAATTGACTCCAGCAGTGATCTGACTTTACCTTTGAGCCCTCGTGAGAATTTTTCATTTTCATCCAGCACTGAGGCTTCTGCGAGGACCATCATAGCATCTTGGAGACGATCTTTCTTCACCAAAAGTGTGGCAAAGCTTAATGTCTTCATTGTATCGAGGCCTACCTCATGGCAATGCTCTTTGAACTGATTAAAGCAGTACTCAGCTGCTTCAAGGTTCTCCGTGGAGCAAAATAACTCAAGTGATTGAGCCAAAACCGGTGGAGATTGATAATCTAATGCTTGAAGTTGTCGTAGGATTTTTAAGATCTTTTCCTCATTCTTATTCTCCAGATGATAAGCGAATTGGATTCTCAAGTCCGATACGTTCACTCCCGTTGGCCTCTTGATGTAATCATTGTTCTTATCCTTGAGGTAGGAGTTGTATTCTTCCATTGGAACTGGGATCAACTCCCCAGAGGTCAGTTTAGAGATAAGGTGATCAAGCTCTGCAGCTTTGTGGGGTTCGAAGAAGGATTTCACAGTCTCTCCTACTTCAGAGGAGATGCTAAGACCTGCAGCCTCGAACTCATGAAGTAACTTCTCCACTATGTTTGGTCGATACTTGGGGATTGTTGATAGAACAGCCGCCATTGCTTCATCGGAAATACTAATTGGAATATTATTTACATTATGTTCAGGATTTTCCGTGCATTCATCTCCTAAGAATCTTAGAATGGTGACAAACGATTTCGTATCGTCCCACATGTTCAAGGAGAATGCCATGGGTTCCAAAAACAAATCCTTGGAATATTTAATCGGATAAGACCTCATGAACATCATAGCATTCCTTAATTTCTTATCATTGATCGATCGGTGAGCAATCGCCTGCAAAATCGTGGGTTTTTGAATACCCAGAGGTAAGAGCTTACCTATTATGTTATCCCATGTTCCAAACATAAAAGGAATCGTGTAGTCTCGTAAAGTATCCACAGATGGAATTATTTTAAAGTCGTCGACCATTGATTTGAGAACATCAATGATGCCTTGGTAATTGCTGGCACGAGCCTCAGTTCGCAGCACAGGCCAAAAGTAGTGTTCTCTTATTTGTCCTCCTCGCTTCTTCCAAGCGTTCATAAGGGGAATGACGACACTGGGGTTTGCATTCCGTGAGAGAACGTGGTAAAGTGCGATGGAGAAAGGTCTTGGGTGGAGTCCCTCGTCTTCTAGGACAGTGCAAAAAGTGACTAACTCATCATTAGTGAATAGTTTGTTGGTTGCTGCTGCTCGCAACAGAAAACCCGTACGAACTTGGAGCCTGGCAGCATCTGTAGTCGTATTCTTAAGGATTTCTAGTGCGAGCTTGGTTTGTTTAATCTCCATAAGCTTCACAAGGAGCCGACCCACTTCGGTATCTTGTCTTATTTCTTTCGGAAGTTCCAGAGAGAACTCTGCAGCTTTGTCGCTGTGCCCGTTAGTTGCTAATGTTTCGATTATGTCCATCAGATGTTGATCGAGTAATGTTATCTCTAGCGATTCCAACTTTGCAATGGTTTTGGTGATCGAGGACATATCCCCACGTTTTGCGTAGGCACAAAGGAGGGCCCCGTAGGTGTCAGCTGACGGTTCAATCCCAGTGGATTTCATCGTTTCTAAGGTTGACTCTGCATTTTCTATGTCATTAGCCTCGGAGTAACCAGTTATGAGAGAATTGAAGACGTTTTCGCAGAGTGGTAAATTGTTCGTGCGCATCATGTCGATTACCTTAGTCGCGTTAACGATGTCACCCTTGCGGCAGTAACCTTCGATTAGGCGGTGGTAAGTCACGCGATTTGGCACTATCTGTTTTTCCACCATCATTCGAAGAAACTCGGCGGGAGAGAAAGAGTGATGGCGTTCCAGGTAGACGTTGAGGAGCGCATTGAAGTGGGACACGTCCATGGGAATTTCTGAAAAGGCAAAGGTATTATGTATTCAGACGGAAATAAGAATGAGATAAAAAGATGTTATATGGATAGTTCTTTTTACTTCCTGGCATTATTTGCATTTATTTTAAAGGGTTTTTGTACGTTTGAGCAGGACGGATTTGGTGATAATCGAATCTCATAGTGAAACGTTAGGAACAAGATATTATTTCAAAAGAAACTCAATTTTTCGATTCTTTTACGAATATCATCAGATGGGGCATATTTAGACGTCCCGCGAATCTTTCACTTATAATCACTTGTTTCATTCCGAACCCTGTATTATATGTAAAGTCACTCAATCAGCCCAGCTCGAGTTAATGTCGATTGTATGGAAAATATTGAATATAACCACAAACTAGAGCCTCTATGGAACCATCGAAGGAAACAGACGTGGTTATAAACCGCTCGTCATTCCATATTGAATCGTTCTTATACCTTATAGGTGGCCAATTTGCAGTGTTTTAACGGAGTTTCCGTGATATAAAACTGTTGTAGTAAGCCCCTTGGGGCTCCCCACGTCAAGTAGGGAGCCCGTTTTTTTTCTTAACGTTCTAATGAGCATCAGCAAAGTACCTGATGCTCCTACGCTCTCCATGCACTCTCTCAACGTTACGTCAACTCCTACCGGTCCACCGAGACCAACAATGACTTCATTGAATAACACCTCACCCATCACGACACCTGCACCACTTTACTCTCATATCACTCAGAAAATGACTAAGGAACACGCGATTGTGGTCAATGCCATTGAAGGCATTCCAATTTTCGAATTCACCAAGGCCTTGGGAGAAATTATTTTTCCCAAACAAATCACTCACCAAAATAAATCGCTAGGCCGTATTTGTTTTCATCTTTCCAGCAAGAAGTTAGTGCGGAAACTCACCGATACTACCACTACTATTAAAAAGCGTTCCCACACCGTCGTAATTCGGCCTTATCATGCGAAGACTCAGAAGGTTATCATGTCCAACTCTAATCCCATTATCCCCGATGATCTAATCCTGTAAATAATTAAATCTTCCGATCTTCGTCCTACCTCGAAGCTCATCCCCATCAAAGGAGGAAATTATCCTCCTCCGTATGATCACATTCTCTCCTAGCGCAAAATTATATACATTCCAGCAGAGACAACTCCCACAATTCCTCCCAAAATTCCAATTGAGTATGAAAATACCAAGTACTGGATCTACCTATCCACACGGCAAGTCGTCTGCTTCAACTGCAGGAAGGTAGGACATACTGCTCAAACATGTGAAAATCCAACCTGCGAGGAATTGATCAATCAGTCTCAGATATCAACACATGACTCAGAAACAACCCAGACAGCTACGCCAGAAATAGAAACTCAGCCTCCTACTGGAGATACCCAGCCAACTATAGCTGAGAATAATCAAGTATCAACATATCCAGAACGAATATCGAATATCGAATATCTACGAATATGGAAACAGAAAAGATCAATGACAGCGTCGAGAGAGGAACAAGAGACCAATTCAACGACACTCAGAAACAGAAACAGGCCGAGCTAATAAAGCGTACCATTGATGACGAAGATAATTCCTCTGGTAAGGTGTTGTCCTCAACCCTTTCACCTAGCCGAAAAATCTCACAGATATCTAGAAAGGTTACTCACCCTAACCAAAAAGGCGAGTGAACTATAATAGTAAGGATCGTAAAGCATTTAAGAATCTCAATGTCAAACTTGAGATTACCTCGGCATGGGCACATTTCACCACATACTCGGATAAATATACTATGTCTTTTGATGAGCTCGTCATGCTTCTCGACGAACTACAAACTAACGGCGCCAACAAAGACACCATTGAAGAATTCTCGATTGACACTTTAGGTGTTGTTAAGATGCTCGACGATGCTTTCGAGCACACACTAAATATTACATTAAGAAAATTCTTGGTCTACATTCATTCTTAAATCGCCGAGTTCTACCCCGATACAGAACTCTCTGCTATTCCCACCTGAGACTCCTAAACAACACCAACAGCTCGACATTCTAGACATGGCCGTGCACAGCAACAATCAACTAGGACATCAGGCTCAACCGAGCTCCAACTCTCTTCATGGTCTCCGAAGTCTTCATTGGAACTGCCGCAGTCTCCTTCTACGTCTTCCAGAACTTCAAAATATAGCTAATTTTGAAGATATTATGATTTTTTCTGAAACCTTACTCAATCCAACAATTACTCGAGATAAATTTTGTTCTGGATTTAATATTATTAGACAAGATAGAATACATGGTGCGGAATGTGGCCTCCTTGTTGCTATTAGGAAAAACCTCGCGTACATACAAATAAGTAATCCAGATATGTTGCGAGGTTGCTGAAATCATTGGATTTCATATCACTAACACAGAACTCGCGGTCGATATTTATGGTATTTACAGAGCCTCAAACTCCGTGAGTCTTTCTCATTAGAACTGGGATAAAATAATCTCTCTATCCTACTGTGACATCCGTCAGAAAATTCATTTTAATTCATTTTCTTACGTCGTCATTCAATTATCTCGGTGATAGAAGCGACTTTTGAAACCCAAATTATCTTCTGTGACGAGGGAAAGCGACCCCCTCGATGTTGGGAATATTTCGGCTGCACACATCTGTGAACGATAAAAATGTTCCCAACGTCGAGTTTCTCCTAGATTAAGGAGATATCAGCTGTACAATATCAGATGCACTGTAAACATTTGAGTCTAGTCTCGTCTCCTTAATCATGTACTTTCCACGTGTGACCGTAAATTTCAATAAACACTGGACTCTTGAACCGGAAAACTGTTGATAACAAATTCTAAGCGTGGGTCCAAATTTTGTAACTCCCACGACAAATATTTGATATAAAAATAGAGTAACGATTTCGTTTCCCACATGGAGGAAATGACATAAACATTGACGAACATGTGACACAAAAATAGTAAAATGCATCATACAACAGAATGATTCTTTTATGAATAATTTTCCATTTCGGATATTAATTAAACTATCATAATTGTTTAAGAAATATTATCAACGTGGGAAAACCACAAAATAATTAAAGTTTAAACAATATTTTTATGTCATTGAATTATTATTGAATTACTATTAGATTACTATTTTTCTTCAATGAATTATAATTTATCATAACATTTCATGAAATTTATCTGAATTGTTTCTAAAAAATTAAATAACAAAGATGTTAACGCTAAGTTGAAAATAAGAGATAAAAGAGAATTGTGGAGGGAATATATGGGCATTCCTAAAACAATTTTCATTGGTTGTTGGGGAATAGAAAAGACCGCCTACACCCCAAAAACATCTTCATGTAGAGAGATGGAGTTGATCTCGAAACAAGGAGATTTCAAACCACTGGAGTGGGAAATTTCGGCTAGAGTCATTTGTAATTGGTCCCCGAAATTTCCCTATGCATTCTGAGGACACATCCTCCTAGATAAACTATAAAGACTTGTGCGCGATAGCAGCACGACAGTTACAGTTCCGATTGCATTTTGTAGTCATCGCTACAGTAGTAGTAGTAGCTCATATCTGAGAGTTAGTATACTCCAGTTTCTTTTGGACACAGTTCCAATTTTATTATCGACCTATTAAGGCGATATTTCGGGTTTTTCGCGACCTTTAATTTTCATATAGTCTTGGATGACTATTTAATTTCCATTTTAGTCTTTCGTGGCTAAATTATTTTCTGAAATCCCAAGTCTTGTGACATTTTTAATTATTTTATTCATTTAAATAAAGAATTTAATCCAACGTCTTAAATTCAGTGCGGCATTACTTTTAACCACATAACAAATACTTTACGACTGAAAGCAGAGCAGTGAATGTAAGTCGAATGTTGTAGTTATACTTTTCTACTTGTTTTGTTAACATATAGACTCTATTGAGTCACTTTAAAGTTATTCAAAATTCTTTTCATTTTACTCCAAGTGAACCTTTCCAACCTTTGATTCCAAACCTTTGTAAATTGGTTTTGTGTTTGAATTCTATTCCTTAAATTCGAGACGATCTTTGAATTTAATCTTGTTTTTTTGGTTCAATATATTGAATTTTAATTTAATAAAGTTGTGTCAAGTAACCCATTCTTGACGTAACACTACTCTTCAAAGTATTCCCTGTTAGTCAGCGATCTTAATGCGCACAACCTGGATTGGAACTGCCCCAAAACAGACACCAATGGCGAACGTCTGTATGATTGTATTGTTGCCCGCAATATTATATTATACAACCCTGACACGATCACTCGACGAGTTCAAGCCAGTGAAGCTAATCTAGATCTTATTCTCTCTACCACATCGTTTGCAGACAAAATCAAGTATCTTATGCATAACGAGAACTGGGGGTCTGAACAGTACCCCATGCACATTCAACTCTCTATCCATAAACATATTTGGGACATTCCATGTCAACTCAGCCACCCCGGATTTTGTTTTGTCTGCAGCAGAAAAAATGATTTGATTGCCGCATTTTGAACTACTATATATAGACAGTATTCCTGCCAAATTTCCTTGCCTCACGATTTTTTGTTTGTGAGATAATGACTACCAAACTTTAAATTTTCAAAAATTCATAACTTTTGAATGGCGCATCCGATTCGAACAAATAAAAAAATAAAATTTTTGTTTTCGTTCATACTTTGAGGAAAAAAAAACTCCATAGGCGTGAAGAAGCTTCTGTACCTATTTTTCGATGAATTTTTAAGTTTTTATTTTTTTTCGGTTCCAGGGCCGTTCGGTATTCGACTGGAATATTTTTTTTCTGATAGAGGACGTCCATATATGATGTAAAAAAAATACACCAACATGGGAGAGACAACTAGTGCACCGGAGAAAATTTTTGTTTCCTAAATTTTCGTGTTTTTCCGCTTTCTCGGGGAGCTGCCTCGTCTTTATTAAGAAATTGATATTTCAATCCATACCTTTGATGAATATGAGTTAGGAAAGAGATTCATCACGATAGAAAAGAGAAACAATGCGTCGG